GCGACGGAACGAAGGGAAGAGGGATGATATTTGCAGTGGTCGGCTGCGAAATTTCAATTACGCGTGTACCCCATCTGATTCGATTATCGGGACCGGCTTGATTACCGATTCAATTGTTGCAACGAGTGCACCGAGGAATTTGTTCCTGTTTGCGCTAAAGCGCGGCGGACGCATCTATTATGCAGCCCGATCCTCGGCCCTGCTTGTTCGCACTCTCTGACACCTTTCCCCGGTGTATTATAGCGTCGCGACGCGTCGTTCTATCGCGCGGACATCCCGTGCAATTTTCCCTTCCGCCCTCGCCTTTCCACCCGTCACTTTTCGCCCCGTTTCCCGCGCTCCCTAAAACTTTTATTCTCTTCTCGGGCCCGATGCACCGTGTTTCCGAGGGCGTTTAACGACGTAATGCGGCAATTTTGTTAGGCGGTTGCAGCAAATTTCGCGGAGGTGCGAAACGACGGTGGGCTCTTATACCGAAGGGCCATTAAGCGATCTTTCCCCGATCATTGCCGCTCAGCCCGGGATTCCATTTCAGCGCGGGGAAAAACTGCCGGGGATATTAACGCGCGCACGGCAGATGACACTTCGCGAGTTAATGTCCCGCGTATTGCACGGAATTCTGTACGATCCGCGGTAACAGCGAATTTTCGCGGCCGGCGTTGTGAAACATTTCCACGGAAACGCCGATCCTAGTGTCGCGGTATGTACGGACGAGGGGAATTCGAACTGTTACCGGAACAAAATCCCCCCCCACGGCGTGGCCAACAGCGCGCAATTATGAAATTCTTTAAATAAACTCGAGTATGACCGAGGGGAGGGTTAACAAATCGGTAAAAAACGTTCTACCCTTAGAAGTTGTACGTAGAATTAAGTTTCGACAACTTGTGCAGACTGCTTCGTTATTCTCCAGCGGTTTTCAGCGACAAGTTCCATTCGAATCGACGCGATAAATCGATATCGCGATAGTGACTAAAAACGTGAGGATTATTTCTAGTCAAGCACGATCAATATTCATGATACGCAGCACTAAAAGCAATCACAATGAATGCATATTATTCGCGACGCTCTGTAGGAAGCAGACGCGATTGATATTCATACTACGCGACACTAACGGAAACCACGATTATTACTTATTCCCAACATTATCCTGATAACAGACGCGGAAAATATACAAGTCTAAAAGCAAACGTGATGGGTGTATGTATTTTATCGCACTAAATGCAATCGGTTCGTATTGTTCGCCGTCTTGAAATCGCAATTTGCACAATAACATTGGGCCAAGTGTCAGGATGTTGAATCACGTGTATCAGCTTGAAAAAGTAAGCTACTATTAGAGAGTACAGTGACGCAGAAGTAACAGGAATGACACTCCATCCGAAGATGGAGAGACATTCGTTGTAGTTCTCTCTTGAGACAGTTTGTCCAGGCCTCTTAGCTAGATAGTCCCTTCTTTCTTTGGGCAGCTCTAGACTACTTAAGTCTTCAACTTAGCCTCTACAACATTAATTAAAAAACTATTCAAATTGTCGACCTCGTCGAATACTAACTTCTGCGATAAACTATCCATAGACTAGTCATAGCAAAAGAAACTTGATGGTCTGCTATTCTGTTGAACGTTTGAATTTGACAAATTTTTTAGATCATTACCATTTTATAAACTCAAGTTGTATACAGTTCCCTTAGTCACCGTTCTTTAAGCGAAGAGGTCGCTCTACCATCGGTTTTTTACGAGGTCGGTATTTCAGTTTGTATAACACCAAATTCCATGAGACGAAATACCTCGTACCTCGTCTACGATGGAAAGTAGTTTACAAATGACTCCAAAATTTGTCTCCGTTGTTCGAGAATAAAATACTAGTACAGTTTGTGTTCAGCGTTCGATCGATATGGTGATCGTTGGATCACAGACGATGTATACGAGTAGACCTTTCACCTAATGTATTTTTTCGGCCCGTTTCTCTGGGGTCCCGGGACCCCATTACCATTTTCGTGTCATTCGCAACGTTACCAATAGATTCAAAAATGAATTTTAATCCCTTCCATAGTCAATTCACATGTACTTACGCATACACTACAGCTGTCTGCCCATCAATGCTAATTCAATGAATAGTTTCTCAACTGACCGCCATCCATGAGAAGAGGCCGCTAAAATCAGCTCCGAATTTTCAGGTCGGTATGACAGTCAGATTCGGCCGCGAAAGTCCATAAAGTGTAAAGTTTACTCGTATACCTCGTCTGTGGTTGGATCAATGATCGATATAATTGTACCGACAGAGTAACGCGCGCCCGCCTTACCATCGATCGATGGCTACAACGCCGAGAAGATCAAGGATATTTTACCGTGGATCAATACATTTTCCAAAGGCAAATTCTCCGGTCTCGTACCTGCAATTTATCGTTCCCACCGCGTGACGCCGCAATAATGCGTAGGAAGTTAAATGGGAAGCATAGAAAGTTCAAGCATATCCCTCCAAAACGACTGCTGGAGCCAACATTAGAAATTCCGCGCAGACCCGGGCCAGATTCCAAGATAATTGTGCACCCCGGTTTGAAAAATGGACATCGTCGACGAAATTTAATTATGACTGAAATTCTGCCGAATGCAAAACGTACGTCACGTAACTCAAGAAAACGCTCCGACGAATAAACCCCGCGTCCTAAAGTTTCACGGAGGAGCAAATTCCAGCGAAATTTTGTTATTTTTTAACTTAGTTGGATAGGTGTTACAAAAAATCTCAAAATAAAAATCTTCGACGGATAAACTTGTTGGAAAACGACCGGAATCCTCGAGTACAATCGTTAGTTTCATCCGCGTGGAGGTTTGGAACGCGATATTGCTATCAACGGGAAATTGAACCGAAAACGCAGGCACCCAGGGCCGGGTAACGGAAACTCGAGTTGAAGCGTCCAAATCACGACGTGATCTCCCCGTGTATCTAGGGAATCACGGCGGATCTCGTGAGGCAAAAAGGGATGGCTGAGGCTGCACAGCGACGCAAATAAAAGGACGATCTCATTTTGTCGGGGAAAACTAGGAAGCACCGCATTGCGGCAATATCGCGCGACCGAGCGAAACCACGGGCAGAGAACCCGTCTCGAAAACAAGAGCACGGTCTGGAGGGGCGCAACGAGAGAGTCGGAGTCTTGCCTTTGGTGCGATTTAAGGGGAACAAAGGGAGGAATGTGGATAAACAACGCGTAGTCGACGAGAAAGAAACGCGAAAAAGTCGGGGATCGCGTCGATCGCGGGCCAAGTTGGACGATTCGTCGGTTGGCTGGAACGAGCCAGCGCCGTGTATCCTTTTCGATTGTACGGCGGATCGGTGCTCCAGTGAGGATCTGGCAACACGGGCTGGAGGTGGAGTGATCTTGCAGGAGCATTGGCCAGGAGGGAAACGAGAGGAAAGGAGGGTCTACGGAGCCTCGGTGGAAAAAGGTGCGAGCACACCTGAACGCGAGAGAGAACGAGAGCCAGCCAACGACGGCGGCGGGACAGAGAGGCCAGGCCTGGTCCAGCGCTCGTAAAACTCGTCTCGTGCTCGAGAAATACCTCGCAGCGGTGAACTTGGGAAACTTCCGGCCGAAACGGAGTCTTCCCACCTCCACTTTCGGCTGCAATTCTTCGATGTGTGCTCGCGGTGGATCTCGCGGGAGTACGTTTGTGTTGTAGAACAACGGGAAAACCCGCCGGGCAGAGGAGACCGTGCACGGGCAACTTTTCGGGGAACAATGTTTCGCCCCGCGGGAGTGTAACGCGCCGTGGATCTACTGAAAATGCAGTGTTTCGCGCGCGAAGATAATACTCGTCCACGTGTGCCACGGAAAAACCGGCTGGCTTAGAGTCTCCATCCTCGAAACATCCATCGATCTCGTTCCCAACGAACCACCAAGGTGAGAGCCACGCGGAGGCTACGTTTTATTACAACGATAGACGAGGATCGAAATCCAACGTTTATTCTCCACGGTTACCGAGACGTTGTTCCTCCGGAGCGAAATATAATTTCGAGTTGAAACGCAAATTGAAATTTTTATTCCGCGAGTGACGCGTCGAAAGTTGTTTGTCCCTCGTTCGTTTATTCGATGGTTTTATGTAGATTAGAAGATTGCCCATCTCCGGAGCCAAGCTCCGAAGCGTGATGCAGCGCCGAAAGCATTTTCTTCGCGTCCACGACGCCTGGCGCGAGAGCCAAGACTCCTAGGACAAATGACAGCTAGAAATATGCTTGCCAGAGATGGGTCGCGTTTTTACCCAGATGAAAATTTTGAATAACTTGTGACTGATAGATGACCCTTCTTTGATTACTCGTTAAACGAAAATAATATTTCAAATTGATTGTTTTGCTCGGTGAGACCGGACGGAAGAAACAATTTCACAACGAACAAATAAAAATTTGTGCTTGGATACGTTGTTATACTATACACGTAAGTGTCTTTAGGGCTATACGAAAAATTTCTCGATTAATTCCCTTTTCTTCGCGCATCTCATCGAGAGTAAGGATTCCTTCACACAATCGCGCGGGAACCGACCTTACGAGTGGCTAGGCAGCTTCCAGCACGAAGGTTCTTCGCTCGTGTGGAAGAGCTCTTATCCTCGACAGTGACTCTCAAGCGAACATCAGGCATTAGAACGAAGAGTACCGATTGTTGGCAGAGTTTTCGTGCTCGTATCAGACGCGTATTTATTTATTCCATCGATATTGAACGCGACGGCGGCCGATGAAGCAACCGAATATCAAAACAAACATCAACCGACCGCAGATAGTTTGTGCGCGACCAGTGAACGAGTTTGCGGCAATCTCTCCGTGTAAAGTACGTAACGAGAACGTAATTTGACGATTTTAATACCGGCGACAGAGTTTACGCCATTAACCACTTGATGCTTTCGACGCCGGACGAGCGACGAAAACTCTCAACCGTGACGTCGACAAGAAACCGTGCGACCAAACTGTTGCATGGCAGTGCTCGTGAAAATTTCATGTTTTGAGTGCGTGATACGTTGGAGCATTTGCCATTTCATATTTACATTTACTCGCGTGGTGATATTGTGTAAATGAAATTAAGTTACCTTTTAGAGCAGGTATTCTCAACAAAACACTTTAGCTCCCGTTTCAACAATTATATTTCCGTTGAGAGAAACAGCAGGGAAATAATAGGCAGTCTCTGACTTAAATTACAAATACGAGTACGTATACAAATCTACTATATCACATATAAATAAAAGTACGACATGATTCGGGGTAAATGGAGTAACATAATTGGATTTCGAATCTTGAAAAACCGTTTTAAATATTAAAGTTGGAAACTCCAATTTGGTCGTGGAACACAGGTTTCCAGAGTGTTGTGGATCGTTGGGAAGGACGCGCGACTAATGGAACGCGGGCGATCGAAGCGAGCCGGGAAATCCGCGGCCGTTAACAAATTTTTTACGCCACGCGACTTGCTCGACCGGGAGTAAACAAAACCTCCGGACGGCGAATGGCTATTTGATCGAATCGCGGCGTCGGAATGCGAGATGCGACGGAGCGAGGAAATTCAGGAAGGGCAAATGACCGGCAATCGTGATTCCACCCCCTCCGTTGGACGATACGCGGCACAATCGGCGCGTGACGCGTTCGAAAACTACAAAACCCGAACTAATTAAAAGGGAATCAGCCAGCCGCCGTGACACAAAATCTCCGCGTCGATCGACCGGCCGTGACGAGAGTCGGGGGACGAAAGAGGAAGAGAGAGACGAGTCGCGTCGCGACGCGGCGCAAATCAAATATTAATCGTGCAATTAGCGCCGATTGTACGTTAATCGGTTTTGCTTTTTTTTCTCGCGGCGTGCTCGCGCGCGGATGCGACCAGAAAATGTTACACGCCGAGTGACACGCCATCCGCGCTGTCATCGCGTTTATTTCCGTTTGCGGGGCCCCATTAATTTTGAATTAACCGACGGATCGCTTGGTTCCGACAATACCCGAGCGATCCGTCGTCCAGAGATCAGAAAAGGATAATCGTCCTAGCGCGGGTTGATTCGACAGCCATTGTTGATTCGATGTCTTTGTATCGAGTAGGTGTGTTAGGGTACAAAAGCTGTCGTTACGGCGATAAGAGAATTCCATTATACTATCGATAGATTCCTAGACAGAATAGACGTCTGTCGATAGATTCCCAGATGGAATAGACGTCTATCGATAAATTTCCAGGACAAGATATTTGGAAAATACTTACCATTCTTGACGTGTTTGTTTAATTGCTTGCTCTCTCTGCAGTCGGTGATCCTCGAGTAAGACGTCATGGGAACCAGAGCCGTCGCTGTGGGGGCGGCACCAGGTGCTGCTGGCGTGTCCGGCGAGGCTGGTTTAGCCGGTGTACCCAGACTTCTGGAGGACCTGGCCCGGCTGTCGGAGGACAAAGATACAGCTGACATCATCTTTCTGCTGGGTCGGGACGAGACGCCGGTGTACGCTCACAGAATTATACTCCAAGCGAGGTCAGTATTGCCCAATTCGAATTGTTCCGCTCCTTGCTGAAACATTTCGATTCGTTAAACTCGTTTATATACGTGGGTTTGATAACAAATTTTGTTCACGAACGTCTAACAGATAACTCGTTCGTAAATTAGCTTTTGAGACGTCGGTTCGCAAAGTCGATCATTGAATCCTAATTCACGCATGTACGTGGAAGTTAGTTTACGAATCTAAAATTTGTATGCGTAGTTCGTGAATACAATTTACCCAACTCTGCCCGAAACATTCACAATGAGACACTTTATATTATTCTCCCTTCCTCCCGATATCCTTCGACGCCCCCGGGGACGCCAACGACTTCGACGCGTTCCCACGAACGGAGCTAGTCGAGCCAGAAATTTTATTAAACGAACCACCGCCGCCGCCTGCCGCGTGGGACCGAATTAATTGTTAATCGTAATTTTTATTAAAACAGCTCGTCGACGTATCTCGGAGTCGATCGATCCGCAACGAGGATTTCCTCGGAGACTCGAAACGATCCTGGAAATGCGCGGGAAACCACGCGGGAGACGAACGGCGAGAAGCTCGCGCGCTGATTTACGGACCGAATGGGGCGAGATGCTCGAGATACTCCCGTGAAAAATAAATAAACGGGTCTCGTCGCTCCCAGAAAATGGAGAATTAACGCGGGAACGCGGAGCATTACGTGCTCTTATCTTCGCGACATTTCTTGCAATGGAAATGTAACGAGCTTCGTGGAACAAATATACCAAACTTTCTTCAGACCTCTCGTCGAGTACGCGCCGATAAATTATTCTTTACCAAGCTGCCTGTTAGCTATTAAATGGAACATTGTTTCGCACGTTTTCAAGGAAGTATCTATCCATACAAAATTATTCTATTCCAGTTCGCGGACGCCCACGTAGAATTTTCACAGGTGCGAAAAGGCTTTCTAAGCACGCTTCTGACACGGTAATTTATGGCCGTGCCGTTTTTGCTCCCTGCTGCGTTTGCGAGAGTCGCTATATTTAATCCACCAAGTATACGTCGGCGTTCGAAAGCATTTACGGTTCACGAGGCCACAAAACTCCGCGGACGCCGAGTTGCTTACGACTACAGTCAATCTTGTTTAAGCCCCGCGATAATTCCCTCTGTAAGGTTCGCGTGGTGATTCTCGTTACTCCTTTGAACTGTTAGAAGCTCGGTGTTATCTCCGACACGCGACCAACAGTGTTAGGTTACTAATGAGTTACCGAACCAGAAGAGTAAAAGTTTTATACTTTTTCATTTATCGTTATAAAACTGCTTTAATCGGAACCGCGCGGTCCTTACGATGAAAACGATACCAAACACGAACATATTTTAATGATTTTAAGGTGGACGAGGAATACGTATTCCAGGAGATATTTCACTAGATATTTCTGTCACGGCATTAAAAGTCGTGACACGAAGTCACGTGAAAACGGACTTTAAAGTAGATTTGATTATAATTAGAGGTCCTTAAAGTTTCCTACGTACCAAGCTATTTCGTATTAAACAATACTGGCCAGAATATTCTATTGTCAACAAATGCGTCGATATTCGAGCTATTTATCTTACATCGGGGGTCGTGCTTAAGTTCCGGGGAACTTCGTTCGCGGTAACCGCGCCGGAAACTTTTCTCTCGTCGACGAAAAAGGCCCAGAGTTAACTTTTCCGCAGAATCCACGACCAAACCCAACGGAAGGGAAATGATAACTTCGTTAAATTCTTGAAGTCGTCGACGAACTTATATACGTAATTCACCTGTTCCGGCAACGCTTTGGGGATCGTATCGAAAGAAAGGGGGAAAAGGGCGCTCGTCTCGAAGCTGAGTTTCGTTCGCGAAACAATGTTCGCCTCCAGCGAGACTAGGAAAATTCTTGGTCGAGCGAACGGCCCACGGTGGAAAAAAAAAAGGGAGAGATCGCGAAGTCATCGAACTTTCTTCGGGCAGGAAGTAACGGGCCGCGGAGTTCGCGGGCGTCGATGAATTTTAATTAAGGGGCTGTGCGGATCGTTACGGCGAAATGAATCGATCGAACGTTCTAATTAGTCGGACAATAAGGGAAAAGTGCCTACTTGGACGATTCGTCCCCGTCTCGCGGCGCATTTTCGCCGGGTGAGTTCTAATTGTTGTAAGAAGGCTGAGGGGTGGTTATCGGTGTTAGAGGGTCCAGCGTCAAGGCAACGACATTCCGCGGGACAAACCGATGCTAATTGTAAAGTCAATTACGATATTTCCGTGAAACCCTTTTGATATCGGCGCAGGAGGGAAACGCCGGTCCTTTTGTCATCGGCCCCTCTTTTCCTCCCTGTCTCGCTTCGCCGACACCGGCCTCGGAAAATTAAGTTACGCATGCTCGTGACAGGCGTCCGCGGGAGAAACGAATGGACAATACGCGACCGCACTCAGAACTCTACGCGGTGCTCTCCGGTCCGGTGAAAATCCTGACAAAGAGTCGCGAGCCCCACACCCCCTCTACCGTCGTTCCCTTGTAATCCTTGTCATTTCGAAACGCGACGGAGACGAGAACGATGCTCGACAACGGGAGAAAAGAAATTGAAAAACAAGCCCCGTGCTTTGACTACTCGATGGCACTTGAACGCGCAATCCCTGCGTTCCTTGTCGTTTCTGTCCAGATACGCGTTGAATCGACCACTGACGCTTAAATGCGTTTGCTCCTACCTTTGCCCTCGGAACGGTGATTTTTTTCAATAGAGTTTTTATTTCATTTAAAATAAACAAAAGGGGAATATCAGTGATGGACACTTTCGTGTCTATATTAGCAGAAAAATTGCTTATTTGTAAAACTACATCGTTCAAATATTTCAGGTGGACTTACGGACCAAAGGGGATACAACGAGCATAACAAATTTCAATAATTTAGTTTACTTCTTCCCATAGTTTTCAATTGCTGTATTCTCACTAAACCACCCCCGGAAGGTAAAATTCTAAATCGAGGGCTTCGTCGCCGACACGCAACCCTGCTCGTAATTATGCGCCCGTCTACAATACTATAGATTCGAATCGATCGCGGAACGATCCCGATAATGGACCGCGGTGAGAAGCAGAGGTTTCACAGGCATGCGGAAACAAGAAGGCGTGGGCGCGAATTTGACTCCCGTACACCGGAACCGAAGGCGGTTTTTGCACGGAAATCGACGGAGCCGCTATATAATCGCGCGCTTGGTCGTTAGTAGCGGAGCCCGCGGCGACATTCAACCCTTGCCGCCGTGAAACCAAGCAGCCACGACCCTCGTTTCCCTGCGCCACTAGCCCCCTTCCCCTAACATCCTCTCTCCGCGTCGAGCTCGTGAACCAACGTTACCACCCCCGTGACACCTCGCCGACACACCAGACGCGCGATGCCCTATTCTTTTCTCGGCGTCGCTCGCTGATATTTGGTTTTCTTTGATTCCGCACCGGCGTTCGCCTGTGATTAGGGAAAAGCTTCTCTCCGTGCCTTCGTTCTCTTTTTCCCCGCCTTTCTGGAACCCCCTTCTTTTCCCTTCTTCCTGTTCGCCTCGTTCCACGTACCATCTATCGCGACCAAGCATCCGGTGCCTTTATTTTTCCTCGCAGCAGCTTTTCCTTTTCTTTCCTTCCAGGCTAGCTTACGCGCAACGACATCGCAATTGTTTATTTCGTTAGGGGCACCAAGATTCTTCGATTTAGAATATTTTCGATTCGTACGTTGGAGACGTGGACAAGATTTACTTTAGAATACATTACGTCGCTGAAATTGCATCGGGGAGAGAGACCCTCGATACTTGAATATTTCCCTCTAATTTGTAGAAACAAATGCGCGCACTATCGCTTTGATATTATGCACAGCCCACGGTCGTTACCAAACTGCAGGCGAAAGCATAAAGGTCGAGCTTTTTCCGTCCGTTAAAAGTCGACCCGCGGCGCATGGCATATATCTATATAGATGATTCTCCTTGTACGAGCGGGGTGTTTTTAATTTTTTTGAGCACTAGTTTTCCTCTGTCGACTCGGCAACCATGTTTCGTGGGTCGGCCACGATTTTCCAACTTTCGCGCTCTTCTGTCGACGAAGCCGAGCGTTTGTTAACGCGTCGGTTATATTATAATATCAAAGCAACGCCGTGCATGCCTTTTCCATTTGCGTCCGCTCTTTGACGGAGTTTCTTTTGATTCGATACCAACCCCCCGGTACGCTTTGCCCTCTCGCGACTTCCATCGCGGCCTCCACGTTTCCAGAGCGCGAAATCTTTTCGCACCGTCGAGCTCAGTGCTATTAGAAACCATTGTCGTTTTGCTCGACAGTGTCTTCGTGGACGTACGAAAGCCCTGTTTAATCCCGGGCGCAGAATTTAAAAACTCGTCGTCTTTAAGGGTAGGTTCTGGTTTCGAGGGTCGAACCGGATCGAATTTCGTCTTTTGTATCCTTCGGCGAGGAACCGACCCTCGTTTTTATCGCGTCGGGAATACCGCTATAATCCGAATAAAGAATAAAAATAAACGCAGATCAAAAGGAAGACGGAGACAATGAACGTTACGCGCGCGCGAAATTAATATACAAAGTATTTCCGAACATTTTTCACTCGTCGAAAAGTGTATAAAAGAGGATGCGCCGGCGATTCAGACGCGAAAAGGGTGCACCGTTCGTTTCTAGACTTGTCGATGCTGAAAGCTTTCCTTTTGTGTATCTAGTCGTGCCGTGTGAGGTAGGAAATGGTGTACGACGGAAAAGCCGAGATCGAATGCTCTCCCAATGGGTCATGGGGGATCCGCTTCCAGCTCGAAGTGCCAGAAAAGATTCGTTCTCCCGTGTTCTGCCGCCTCGCCGCAGGGAGAAAGGGTGCGAAGTGACTTTTCGAAGGTCGCCATTAATTTCTAGAGGAACGAAAACTAAAGCCCAACCGCGGGTACGTTACGAACACCTCTCGTGGCAACGGAGCTTCCTGACGAAGTCAATTAAGCCCTTTTATAACAAGAAACACTGGCGTAGAAGTAGGAGCGGTGGTGACGAAAGGAGGTGTACCGGTGGGTGTTCGTTAGAAGGGCTACGCAGCCACGACACATTTAGATGCGTAGCACGGATTCGAAGCTCTTCTTTCATTGTTCCCCGACCGTCGAATGGTAATTATCATCGTTAGGAATCAATGCTATGAGACTGATTTTCGCAGGTGCAAGAACTTCACGGCTGCCAAGAGGATCGGGACACCGGGAAACCCAACCCCCGTGCGTATGCCTCACGCCCACCCGGAAACGTTTCGACAATTCATTCATTACATTTACACCGGCAAGGTGAATATAATTTTCGATGTCTTACGCGTATTTTACGATAGATATTTAATTAGTAATGTACGGACAGCCCTCGTTTATACGGTCGGAAGCTTTCTATGTGAATATTGTATGCTCATCTGCACGGATAGGAATATTATTCAGGGACATTCGGTGAACAAAAATATTTTCTATCGCAAATGTATACGCTGCATAAAAATATGATGTTTGTACAGCATAAAGAAACAGCCAAGAGCTGGTTCAAGTATATAAAAACGTAAATGGAACGGAAAGTGGACATGAAATATGTGTGCTGAGCTATTGATTTGTACAGAGTATTCTATAAATTTTCATACAAATTTTGTCATGTAAAAAATAGATCAACGAACACTATCTCGAGAAGAACCAGTTCTTTACCCATCTGGGTCATCGGATTTTATATACCTATTTAGATTTCTATCTGTGGAAGACTATAAAAGAAACCCTTAGGAACATCTGTATAAATACACAAGACGAACTAAAAAGTAGAGTTAATCTTAGACTTGGTGATATTTGGTCCACAATAAATTTAATATTACGTTGATGTCTAGCCTGTATCGACAGTGGCTGGCGTCAAATCTAAATAAGAAAATATCTTTGTTATAATTTTAGAATGAAGCTATTCCGCGAACCTATGATTATGCATTTTTAGATTATATTTAATCGCAGAATGCACTGACAAAGTTTGTATGGCAATCTGCGGGGTACCCTGAACAAGAATTTGCTTAGGAAAGTTTCACGTTGACCCAAAGGCACGGTCGAGTTTCACCCTGTAACTTTTCTATATAGATCATGCTACAGGACAGCGGTATTTTCGAGATGCTGGGTCTCGCTCAAGAACTTGGAGTCGAGGAACTTTGGAGAAGTTGCGAGGAACACGTCTCAGCCACTCTTAGTCCCGGAAACGCATGTGCTCTTTTGACTGCAGCTCTGGATGCCCAAGAGCGAGTTCCCGGTAAGTTATTCATGGTATCCTATTAAAAGTTGAAGCACCAAACAGTTTCCATTGTCAAACTTGTCGATTTCGTTCTGCTCGACAGACGTGACACGTAAAGTTTGAATTGCTCGGAAAATGCCTTTGTCTTTGAGAATTAAATGTACAAAGTATAGAACATTACGTGTGATTCTTAGGGATTCACATACTTAAAGAGTAATAAATTATACTGGTTCTTACGTTTGCACACTCTCTTGCTTCGTTTCTGCGTTATCTTTTACAAATATTAATGTTAGGATTTGATGTATACTTTATTTGTGAAGATAAGAAAATTCTATATTTGAAATAGTAAGTTTTCTCGTAGCTCGTATAGTAAGTTACCGACTGTGATCTTTGCCGTCTAGTCGGCATATTTGCCACAAGGGCAGCACGCTATGGGGAGATTTTACGACATCAGTGGTGCCAATATCTTAACTTTTATCTCTATCAGAATTTTTCGTTATTTGTATTAAATTTTACAGAACACTACTTTGTATACGCCCTTGATTTTTTCTTCCCCAATTTCCTAATATTAATTTAAAATGTATGAAATTTACGAAGATCCTACCTTAAAAAGTAGAATAAAAACACTAGAAAGAAACAGTTGGTACGTTTACGACGCCATATTTTCCGGCGTCCGGTACTCAAGAAGCACGCGTTTATTAAACGTTGCCTGCTAATTTTTGAAAACTAACAAAAATGTCGTATAAAGGACCACAAAAAGTGCAAAAGGTGATGGTACAGCCCATCAACCTTATATTTCGATATTTGCAAAACCGTTCGCGTGTGCAAGTTTGGTTATTCGAGAACATAAACCTTCGGATCGAGGGTCATATCGTTGGATTTGACGAATACATGAATTTAGTATTAGACGATGCAGAGGAGTATCATATGAAGACGAAAAACAGAAAACCGCTCGGACGCATCATGTTAAAAGGCGATAATATAACATTAATACAGAATACGAATCCAGGAGTGAATTAAATATGGAACCATAACTATGGAGGACATTCTAAGATTAATAACAAACGTATTATTCTATACTTTGTGAAAAGATCTTGCGTGTAAACTGTACACGAAAACTCTCAACATAAACAAAGTTATGAAGGTGACCCATAATTCAGAACAACGAGAGTGAACAATTTTAAATCATTTGATACGAATAGTAAATGAAAATATCACTGACATGTCGAATTGACAATAATCCCTACCGAAGGATGAATTTATCACTGCATTCTTGTAATTTTCAAGGAATTTAGAATATTCATACATTAAAAACTAATCCGATGAAAAACTGTGTAATGTATATCTTGTTTGTGCAGATGGCATTAAATTGTATTCAATTTTGTACTACTGTTTATCTTTTATAATAACTATAGATGTAAATATTACATGATAAAACAATTAATGTAATAAATATGAAATTAACTTGTGCTTAATAAATATTTTTGAATTATAATGCATATTTATTAATGATTATATATTTGACAAGCCCCTAACTATTTATTTATCATATACAATGTAAGCAATAAAATTCGAAAGAAGATAATATTACTCTAAAATTCATGAAAGTTAAGTATTATCTATAAGCTTGTATTCTGACATTAATTGCCTAAAAATAATAAAGTATTCTTTTTTGACACAGGTGGCAAAGGAGCTTGTTCATCTTTTATCGAAAGATGTTTTGCTTTCATCGGAGAAAATGCTGTAGATACAGTAAAAACAACAGCATTCTGTAATCTTCCGAAGGATGCACTAGTGAAGCTTATATCTTCCGATTACCTAGGACTGGAGGAGGAAGATGTTTGGAGAGCGGTTCTAAATTGGGCTAAATATCAGGTTCTTTTTCATTCAAAATTCCATTCCGTTTCCGAGTACTTTGAATCCCTTGAATTCCAAGAAGACTTAACGCTCTGACCACGCGTATGTCGTGCAAGGTTGTAGACCTTATGTCGCATACGATTATTACCGGGTCCTTGGGTCCTTAGGTTCTTGGATCGGAATTTAGAATTACGAGTTAAGGAACGCTTAACCGTACGGACCACGCTCCTAGGCAGGGGTGACGCAGCCTACTCAACACTGGACAGAGGAGGAACGCGTGAGGGTTTGCCAACATTTATCTGGAGTGATAAATCATGTTCGCCTGCTGCTAATCGACAGCCAGGTGTTTGCAGAGGAAGTAGAACCAACCGGAGCAGTGCCTATAGAGTTATCCTTGGAGAGGTACGAATTTTTCAATCCCGATCGATCAAGTGGCTCAAAATTCATAAGGTACGGTTTGCCAGGAAATTCTGATTTTCTTGGAGGCTTTCGATTTTTACGTTTTGTTTTAGGTATAGATATGCAGCACTACCCAACAAGTATGCAGAAATTTGTGCAGATAAGCGGTTACAGCCAAGAGTAAGTCCGTTTCTCTTTCCTGGATCACAAATTCTGTCTCGCGATAAGATGGGGTTTCAACGTCTTCTAAATCAATGGTACGGGTCACCGAAACAAAGTTGGCGTTTAGTGTATCGGTACGTTTACAGTATATAGATCAAATTTGATCGTCATGCTGTATGCTAACTATCAACGCGTTTTAGAGCCTCTAGTCATGGTTACTCAGCAACATCTTTTCATCGACATTGCGACGGAGTTTGCCCAACATACGTGATTGCACTGGTATGTAATTTTAAGACGCCAATTTAAATGAACGAATAAGACTTTGTATAATTTTTTAGGGGATACGAGGAGAAATTTGCGGTGGTTTTAGCGACGCGCCATGGGGCAAAACAAATGCTAAAGGCCACTACATTTTTTCAGAAAAAGCTTTCCTGTTTACTTTAACAAACAATCAAGATGTATCTCCAACTAAATACGACATTGTGAAGAAACCGTTTGCAATTTGCTATCATCCAGAGTAAATATCTATCTTTCTAACTCTGAATAGCTACATTTGAATAGAACTAATTTAACTTTCTAACATCCTTACAGCATTGGACCAATTTTTGGGGCTGGAGCTGACTTACTCATTTCCAGTAATTGCAATGTGAATATGGAAAGTTACAGTAATCTTCCTCACAGTTATGATGGTGAACATGCTTCCAATACTGTACTTATGGGAGACTATCACTTTTCTGTAGTCGATTATGAAGTTTTTACTCCAAGCCATTCAGTTCCCAAATCTACTCATTAACAGTAAATATTTCTCATTCCATAAGCTTGTACATATATACCTTCGCGAGTACAACACAAAATGGAAATGTATTATTAAAGATTAAAATGTAAGAGTGCAATTTGTTATTCAGTTTCTAATTGAAGTAAATTTTATATATGTGCACAGAATATAATTAGCAGAAATGTAATTTCTATACTATTCAGAATAAACGTAAATGAATCATTACATATTTTAATTCGTTATTTATATTTTTCACACGATTCAATTTGAATGTCTACGTGAATTTCACGCGATCGTCGTATTAGCTTCGTTTACGTAAATGAGTTGGCGATTGAAATCGACCGATATTGGCTTGCAATTAACGACTTTGGCTCTCGACAGAATTAAAGTATGCCAAACAATAGTACGTGACCCGTGTATTGAACGACTGATATGCTTCGGCACACCGACCGATTCTCAAGAAACTCGTTAAATCGCGCGTTAAATTACTATGTGAACAGATAGCTTCGAAATCTAATCTGTATTACAGTGGCGCGTTCGAAAGTAAACGTGAAATGTGAAAATCCACGGAAAAATGCGAACTACTGAATACACATTAGACTATCAAAGACGCCGATGACACGGATGTACGTTCGATAAGTAAGATCGTGCCTATTCTACTTATCGTTAGCCAAAATTTAAATTTCCTTCTGCCATATAAGTCTGTGACAATCTGTGATCATATATTAATCTATTTAGGACTGGGAACGAAGAATATTGACTCGATAAATTATTTGGCACTTTCCCTCGGAAACGTTCAAGTAAAATATTTGTATTACCTTCTTCCCTTCATGTTTCCCTGCTACCGTGCGATGCTTCTCGACTGGTTCAAACGTTTATTCAGGAATTCTTCAGAGTATTTCGCACAATGTTATTATTATCACAGATAATGGCACATCGTCCTACACATTGTGGGTGCAATACTACGAAGCAACGAAATCACCTTTTAACTAATTTTTATGACCGTTGCTTTCGAGATGAATCGATTGCAGAGAGCGCCATGAGTATCGTAACCGGCCACCGACAACCATAGTTTATGAGTTTGAGAACGAGACAAGTAACTGTTTGAATAAAGGTTAGCAATAATTTGTCACTTAAATACGCGGAAAACAAATTATTAAGAAATCATTTGTAAATGCAACAAAAGATTTTGACTCGTCCACGTATTTAATAGCTCAACCGTTAGAGGCGGTTGTGTTCCGTTTATTCCGGTCCACATTTCCGTTCCACGTTCCGGCGTTTCTGGTGGTTTTCGAACAGTGTGAAGTGCAGGACATTCTGCTCCGAATTATTTGCAAGTTTAACTAATTATTCATCGTTAGACATCGTTTCTACAGGTGAGTTATGCAATAACTTCGAATATTGACATTAGGTTACCCACTGCACGTAATATTTGCTGTTCTCGTGCAAGGATATTGCGAAAAGTCTCGGTACATTAGAGCTGCGCGCGCGCACGTTTATTTCTCGCGAGTATTTCAACGAGACGTGTTCGAACCTGTTTCGTTCGAAATGTAAAACTGACGAAGCAACAAAAACACGTTCCACCTAAAGTAACTGATATTTCATTACAAATTGTTAATATCCTTCGCGAATGCTGCGAATATATACGCACTCTTAAACGGAGAGAATTTATGGTTCGCGTATGTTGAATATTCATACCGAAGGGTAGCGAGGTTACCGTGGCCATCTTTGTCTAACTTTAACATTTATCTATCGATGTATTTTTAACGCTTTCTCAATCTGATTTACATTTCCTATCTGAAAGGTCGTCGAAATATGAGAATTATTGTAAATATATTAGCATTCAGGCTTTTTATCAAAAGTAAAATCTTTATTCTTCAGTTTTCAATTATTGCTAAATATCCGTTGAAATGTTATCGAATCTTGCGAGCATATAAATTTAAGTATAACAGAATCGAAAGCGGTTTTTTTCGATATCATTCGACGAATTTTGAATCAATTTTTTTTAAAAAATTAATCGCGTATTTTTAACAATTTTTTTTTAATTTCCTCGCTAACGTTACGTTATTTGTACAAAAAAATAAACACTCTATACGATAGCTCGGCCTAGTTTCACGCGCTAACTAGTTCAACGTGGCAGTGAGTGGCTTCCGTAATTCTAAGGAATTGCTAATTCTACAATTTAATGGTCAATGTATTACAGGTTCTCATGGTATCGCTGCAAGAAAGTGTTCGTCAGAAAACTGTGTTTCAACCGACGACGGTTCATTGGCCAGCCTGAATGTCACCACCAGCGACACTGCAAAACGTGAGTGTTTGAATATATTTAAACTATACTGTATTTACAGATGTAGGGCCCAGGGATTGATGGATTTGTACTTTACTTGTGAAACAGCATGGCTTTATAATTGGTATATCAGTCTGAAGCATAATTTGAGTAACGTGCACGCCGAGAATTATATTAAATGTATCATAATATATTTCTATTTGTAATTCGTTGCCACGGCAAATAATGCCGCAATTGATCGATTTACATAATCGTTTAAAGTCATGAAATACACCGTTCAAGATAATTATAGAATCGTCTATTCGACGAGCCATACTATTGTTTCTTCTTCTTCTTGTTCTTCATGCTCGCGATCCTCTAATTATTTAAAACGGTACAATTCGTTGGTCTATGTACAAGTAAGTACTGGCCCGGGTCCCGTTCGCGCAAATCTTGTCTACTTATTTAACATTTACACTTTTGTCCCCGCCTTATTCACTAATCGGGGTACTTCGGTACAAAATGAAGTGCCCCCCATAATCTGTGCCCACACGCAACTGGGGATCAATTAAATAGAATACATCTACAATTGCACGTGTCCGAAGTTGCTACCTAAATACGATCAACAATTATTAACCATAAAATAAAATACTGGCCATTTATTGACTACCTCGATAATCCTCGATAACAAGAGTACCTAACAAAGCATAAGTGTACATAAAACCATTAACAACATCTTCTTCGTTGCGATGCTCGTAACGCGTAAACAATTAAGGGACGCGATTAACGTTACGATAAATGTAAAATATATCTTATGAAAACATACACGCTTCTATATTTACAGTCTCTATAATATATACACGCAATCGTAGATACGGGTATAGAACAACGTTCCACGATCGCTAATTTCGCTAACGTCTGGCGGGACGTTAAACGCTGTACATTTTTCGTTGTATCGAAATTGTCATGATCCACTCTGCTACTTAAATTTCGAGAGCAAGCCTAGGCCTCGAGTTCGTACAAGAAAGGTTGTTGTGAGATTTTTATGCTTTCGTAATTCATGATTTGGTAATAGTGGTAGTCGGTTACTGCGTTTCGTCTTGGATCTGCTAGGTAAAATTTGTCTAAAATATTTGAATAGTCCAACTTGTAGATCCAAGGACAAAATGCAATATTACTCTTGCATAGTATCAAAAATACTACTTATTAAGAAAAAAGAGGTTCTTTTTAATATACCGGGGCGTTCTGAGAGGTAAGTGACCCGGGCCTTTCTTGATCTGCGAGAGGCCTTATGCTCGAGAGCGCGAGTCGCGGATGGGCCTCGGTGGCGTGCTAAAAGCAAATCTGTGTTCGACGGGTCTAGGCTCGAACCGTGCGGGCCCGAGGGGCTGGAAAAGTATCGTCCACGCGGTTTGTAGGAAGGATCCCGTCGGTCCAAGGGATGGAGCACAGGAATTTCGGGCGAAATTCCCGTGCTCCCTCTAATCGCGGGATTCGTCATGGATTCCATCGGATACGGCCGGGGTTGGACGGGTCGCGATCCTCATAACGACGGAGATTCTTCGCGGCGCGAGTGCAAATACGCGCGGGACAAAAGCAGAGAAGAGGCGGCAGAGCGGCGGCGACGGAGGCGTTTACATTGGCAGGCGTCGAACGCTTGTAAGATAAAGCGGTTTGCAACGTTCTACACGTGTACGCCGGTTTGTAACGCACGTTCCGAACACGTGCACCCCGCAGTTTGACGTGTTTATCAACCGATGCACCGCCGTTCCACAGACGTCGCTCTCCCGCTTCTGCGAACGCGTCCTCCCTCCCTCTCTCTCGCACGATTACCGCGAGCGCGCGCTCGTTAATTAAAGCGGAGGACTCTCGTTAAAGTCGATTGGCTTTTGCGCAACCAGCCATCGATCGGCGACTCGCGATCCTCGCCGTGATTACCCGGAATTGAGACGTTAATCCTTCATTCTTCCAACCGACGCGCGGCCACGGATATTTACGCGAGATTGCGTTCGCTGGTTGGCGCGAATCGCGTTTAACGATTCGGGCGCGAATGATTTGTCTCCACGCGAACGATCGGGCCCGATCGGATAATTCCTGCTCGGGCAAGAATGCAATTAAGGACAACGCACGGTTCTCGGAATCGTTGCTCGCCCGTTGAGTCTTTTAATCGACGTACGACAACGGATAACAAAAAAATACAATCGTTAGACTAGGCTGCACCGAGCACAGGGTGGCGCAGCGCAGTAGTTTTCAACCCTATTCCTAACAGGACGAGACCTTGGATCGCTTTCCGTGTTTCAATGGGGCTTGCAAAGAAGTTTATGTACCAATGACATTGTATAGATCATCAAGCTATAAAATACATTTAACGAGTCATAAAATACTTGAAACGTCATTACTATGTAAATTTATTTATAGACTCTACTCGACCTCGACATGCGATCCAAACAGGAGTACAGTCGATTCGTGTGAAGCAATTTAATTTTCAATGTTTCCACAATTTCACCAACAAGTTAGTTTTTGTAAGTGACTCAGGAATTAGACGCCAATTTCCATAACAATAACTGCATCACGCCACCCTGTGCTCAAAGTGCGCCTACCTCCATTGATCGCAATATCACGTGTCCCTTTCTTGTGAACTGGCGACGACTTTTCACTCGAAGATAATTGTTCCGAACTTCAGCTTCTCCTACAGCTTGACGCTGGTCGAAAGTTCCGTTTCCTCTAGGACCTCGTCGTTAGGTCTATAGGCGCCGGTTTCCTTTTCAGGGGAGGACTGTCCCGATCACTGACGCTCTCCATGTCGATCTCATCGTCCTCTGTGTCGTCCTTGCAGGGCGTGGTGACAGACTTCATGGAGAGATCCATCGGGTTGTCTTGGGGCGGGAGGCAGTCCGCTTCGGATTTCGGACTGCAAACCGGAGAACCGTTCTCGGAATGTCCTTTGATAGAACCCGGGGAACTCGTCGCGTGCGTTCGTTGGCTCTTCAACACCGCGTCTAAATAGAATCGCTTTGTATACGTTTCGCCGACTTCCGTTCCCGGCGACGAACTGTGCCTCGACGTCTGTACGTTGTGGTTGTGCGCGTATCTATCGTTGTTGTTATTGTTAGTCTCGCACGAGTCCTTGTTGTCGAGGCTGATGGTCGTGGTGGTGGTAGCGGTCGTGGCGGAAATCGTGTTTGTAGCGTCTTCGATCACGGGCGAGTGTCGAAGGAGGGTGGAGGAGTGATTGGGTACCAACGGATGAGAGGCTCCGTGAGACGTCGCGTACAGATGGTAAGGGGAGAACATGGTGAGGCTGGGGGGTGGTAGAAAAGCTGGTGGTATCAGGGACATGCCACCCAGGTGGAAACCGAGGGGTAGACTCATCATTTCTTTGCTGAGGGCCGACAGATCGGCCACGGAGGGTTGCAGGTGCGAGTGCAGGGGTCTGAAACCCGGGTGTCCCGAAAAGGCTGCTCGTCTCTCGGATATCTCCACGGAACTGTCGCTATTGTGCGACTCCGGCGAGCTGATGCTGGGCGAAGTGGAGTTCTTGTAGTCGTCCAGACCCAGCATCAGGACGTCGTCCTTCCGTTGGCCAGCGTGAATCCCGATGGGCGGGCTCATCGGTTTCCGTTGCTGCTGCGCCAGTTGCGGATTAGGCAGACTTTGCTGGTAATGATGTTGTTGTTGCTGTTGTTGTTGCTGTTGCTGCTGTTGCTCTTGCAGGAGACAGTGGATTTTGAACCAGTTCGACCTGCGACCGTACCGAGAGCCGGACTTCGACATGCCCACGAGAAGGCACTTTCTCAAACGGCAGGCCTTGCAGGCAGTTCGGTTCTTCTTGTTGATCACGCACTCGCCACCGTTCTTGCACTCCGAGATGCTGCTCAGGTTATTGTACGATCTCCCGAAAAAGGACTGAAACACACAGAGAAAAGTTTTTTATTACTAACGCGATAATAACGTCTAAAACGATTAAAATACAATTTCGCTCGCCTCGTTTCGAAGAATACGTCGCTTTAAATGTAAATCGAGAGTTGGAAGATTCTCTTGGAGGATGCGCGCCGTCTGCAGCGATAGCATAATGCTCGTAACGAGTACAGAAAAGTCGTTAGTCCGCAACAGCGTGCTCTCGTTGTCTCATTCATGTTGTACGACGGGGAACCAACCGGTGTGGGCGCGTGCGGCCTACTGTGTTCGCGCTAATTGCCCAAATGGTGCAATTCCGTGATTCCGACACCGCTGGCTTTCGTGTTCGAGGTAGAGAGTCCTCTTTCATTCGCGTGTGTATTCTCGCGTCATTTCTTTTCGATTACAGCTTGTCCTTGTTCGGTTGGTTCGTTCTATACGAAAGTTGTACGAAATTTCAACAGTTTCGGTCCACTCGTATTCGAGATAATCGAACATTTAGAGAGCGATAAGTTTCGTTATATAAAAAATAAAGATGGATAAAAGTTGCAGGTGTTAAGATGGTTAGAAGTAGGCAAACGTGAAACTGATATAAGTGCATCTTTAAATTTAGCAACGTCCACTATAAGAATGTTTGTGTTTTCACCTATCCATATTTACGTAAGGTTAAAATGACTCTGCTTAGCGCAGTTTCGCTCAACGTTCTAAATTTTAAGAACGTATCCCGAGCGTTAAGTGGGGTCCGTAACTGTATCTATACATGCACGCATACAAACTATGTTTAAGGACCCAAGTGGGGGCACAGTCGTATATCTATGATTTCGCGCAACTCAAGGACTTACTGTACACCTAAGCGTGTCTATTGTGCACAAGTTTTTTCTTCCTCGCGTCCCAGAATGGTTCCTATTTATAAAAGACGAGTCCCAAAGCCGCCAAATGGCGAGTCAAATTTGTCCACCTACGCGGTATTAATTTTCTTTGTATCTGCTGGTACAAACGTGGTCTTTCAATAAGGATGACGTTCGATTGAAATAGCTTCTTCGGCTGTTTGGCCCGAGGCTCTCGAAAACAAATTTCAACCATCTATAATTTCGGAGTACCCTAATACGCATGGCTGGGCCCGGCCACATGGCCTCAGGGAAAACAATTGCAAAAGCTATTGTAATCGAATGCGTTCTTGGGTATCGCAAGATCGTTTCCATACCAGTGGACACAAAACTTTTAGCAGACGCGAGCTTATTTAGTTTTGGATATTCCAGGGACGTCTTTTAATCGAGTTCAAATTTCACGGGGATCGTGTTTTCGCGAATTGGAAGTTGTTCGAGTCGTTCGCGGTTGTTCTAGCAAGAGAGTGAAACAGGCCGACAGGCGTCTTACGAAACGCGCGCACAATTTAAGACCTCGTTCGTTATAACAGACATCGGAGCAGCCTCGCGGGCCGAACTATGTATTTAAAGTCGATTGCTCCGAAACACCTACAGCTTCCTGCGTAACCCGCTGTAAAATGTCGCCCTTCGCGGTAATGATCAGCCATTGAACGGAGGACGCGACCGACGCACGCCGCGCGTCCACTTTCGCTTTTTCTGCTCGTACGCACGCCATATTATTAATCGTTTCTGGTTCGTTTGTTCCGAAAACGAGCTCTATCCTGCGGCCCAGTGGTCCCGATGCGCGCGTTGCCGAGACCCACCGTGTTCCACTTGTCTTTGCCGTCTGCCGTCGTCGTCGTCCTCGGCGTCGTCGTTCAGTCGTGTCTGAGCGTAACGTCTAATGTCGGGCCCGTTCTGACGGCGGGGGCAAGGGGACCGCCACGGGAATACGCGCGACGCTTCAGGAGCGATGACACAATCGAGAAAATGCTACCGTTATTACGTGCCTCTGGTGGGTCCCCTCCCCCCTCTCGCCCCCCTCGTTCCTCGTCCGCCGGAGCACACGCCGGGAGTTATGCAAACGGCTCCACTTTGAAACATCGCCGTCGCGCCTTTTCATCGTCGAACCTTCCAGCGATTGTTACGGTTTCCTTTCGAAAACTCTGACCCGCCGATAAATAGACCGGCTAATTACGCCACGGTGAACTTTCTTGGCGTAAGAAGCGTATCTCTGACTCACACCGCAACGTCGAAGAGACGAGAAGAGAGGAGAGAGAGAGTGAGAGAGAGAGAGGGGGAAAAATGGAGAACCGACAGGTTGAAATTCGTTCTCAATGGATGGATAACGAACCATTGTATCGTTTCCGTTGGTTTTCTGCTTTTTTACGCGGACCCGATAAACCGCGAACCGCTCGGTCGAGCATCGGGCCTCGGCGCCAAGGACCCCGCTCTTCGGGTTTCACCTTTATAATAGGGACTAGCGCGCGATCGTGGGACAGATCTACGCGAAGACATTGTGCACGAGCGAGCACGTGCACGTTTCGTCAATTCGCTCGTTCGGATCTCCCCCGGGGCCGCTTCGAGGCGGTGCTTCCGGCGCTTCGCACTTGTCTGCCACAATTGTTTCCGCCCTAGTTCACCGTTACGTCAGCTCGACATTGTTTCGTTTCGTTATTTTCGTTTTCAGGCCCATCGTAGCATGTCAGCTCCCCCCTCGCGCCGCTCTGCTCCTCACGGCACCGTTCGCCTTTACGCTCGACTCGCGGCCCGTACAAGAGACGCGGAACTTTGTACTACGGGCCCAACTAAATTCGCATTCGATCCATCCAAATTTTGTTTAAATTTCGATTAGAGAGTCGCACGAAGAGGCCTCCACGATAGGAATCGGTCAACTTTCTACGCGATTTCCAGTGTTTGCGTATCGAGACTAGGTTTTAGATCGTAATTACGGTTTGTCGTACGCACGCTGCAGCCTAACTTGTAGGAAGCAAGGTGCAAGAGCGATTTATATAATTATTCGGTAAATATCTCGTGGCGCGTGAACAAATCTGTGACTCATTTCAAGCAGGAAAAATCTATCGTAATCGCTCGCGTCGATACTTCGATGGCCGTCGTCACGTGTACGTGATTTTGCTGTTCGCTCACTTTATCTCGATTTTTCTTTTTTAAGCGTGAACTTTTAGAGTGGCCACATCGAAAGTGCACCCTTTCAAGCCTGAAACTTGGTTATCTTTACGTAACAGCCGTACAATGGCTTCACCAAATGCGGTTACTTTCGGGAGATCGATTGACACGCATGCCTAGTCAAACGTTTAACCTCGGCCACGAAGCGGTTCGTGAAAGCGATCGACGGTTCTCAGTTTTGCGAAATCGCGGAAAAGATCGCCGGTCGATAAATTGCCGAAACGATGGAAAAAAGGATGAAAAAAACGGTCGGGAAAATTTTAGACGCGACGCGGTCCTCGCTACCGATCGTTGACATTTTTCCTCCCCGCGATGGTCACGCTGCTCGATCTCCTCTCGGCTCGATATCAGCAGAGATAAATCAATTAAGTACAACGCGACAATAGTAACAGTATGTAGCATCTTGAACAGTTAATTTCTTTTCTTCGTGCTACGATGCACATCCCAATTTTATCTCACAATTTATATCGCGTCTTACAAGCAGTTAATACGGATAATGGAGGTTCCCCCGTAATCCGTTTCCGAACATTGTTATCTGCGCTGCCCGAAACATTAAAAGAAACGTTCCGTCGGTTGTGATATAATTCCGGTTAACCGTTTTTTCAAGACCCGAAAGAAGTTTCGTTTTATCTCCGCGTAAAAAATAAAATGCCGAGAGAAGACTCACCTTGCAGCCCTCGCAGGTGAATGCACCAAAGTGGAAGCCGGCCGCGGGCTCACCGCACACCTTGCACTGTTGGTTCATCTGCAACAGAAAATAATGGCTTTCTTTGAATGTCCGTCTTGGCGATAGCAACGGCCGGGGCCGCGTTTTATCCGCGTATCGATACCACGATCCGTAATTCACGCGACAATTGCGAGCGTCCGTTACGGTGAACGACGAAACCGAGGGAAAACAAAATCGGTCGCAAACACCGTCGTAACGTCGCGTAACGTCGTGTGTATTCCTAGCGTTCGTCGAAATCACAATGCAAGCCTTATCGTGCGCCTACGACCGATCGCATGATTGAGAAAGAGAAGAAGCTCGTTGCGCAATCCGTCGGTTTGCGCGAATCGCTGGATCGTGGCAAAGCGGTGCGTGTTACGTTCAACGAGCGGAAAACCCTCCGTGCACTTGTTACTTTTCTCTCTTTTTCTCCTTCTTCGTCGTGCTAATTCATTTCGCCTTCTTTGGCCGCTCGTCCGGAAAACAAATCGGGGCCCCGCTGTCTCGTTTTCACACCTCGCTGCCCGTGTTCCTCGCTTTGTCTCGCTTTTCAACGCCCGAACGTACGCTGGGGATTTTACACAATTGGGAGACAGAGTTTGTAAACAGATAGAATACCGAGGAGAGCACAAATGCACAGAAGGGGTCGTGTGGGGCCCGCGGGCCTTGTCGACGTGTTTGATGAACATACAGGTGATTGTCAACCGATAAGTTTTACGATCGCTCGGATGGAAGTACGGTCTTACATAATATTTCGACGCCGGTCGCGATACGGATTTTCCATCGGTCGTGAAACCACGGATGGCTCGATACAGTTTTTACGACCGTCTCCGCGCCGAGAATCTTAATGAAGCTCTGGAATATGGGACAATAACGCTGACCCACATATCTAGCCCGCGGGTACGCCGTGTCACCTGCGGCGACTTTCATAGATGACAGACTGTCGCTAAATGGGAAAGTAAATCTCAGCTAATGGAAGAGACATCGATTGTTTGATCAACGGAGTCTCTCTTTCCTGACCTACACCCCACAGTCGTTGACTCTTCTCATTCGCGGACGCTCGACGCCTCGACGTGCCTACGCGTAATTTTAATTCCGCGTTCGATTCTTGCCTTTCTTCCCTCTTGCCAGCTTCCTCGTCAGGCTACGACTTTCGTATTGTCGAGACTAGACACGCTACTAACGATCATCGATAATTTATTAATATCTAAGGTGGCCGTTCCAGTAATCGAGGAAAAATAAAATTTTCAGGCAAATAGTTGACAAATTGCCACAAATTGTCATTGAATAAATTTAACGTTAGATTAATTTTCTTCTTGACGCGATTACACAATGCGTACGGACATTGTTGATATTGATCGATATTGTTATCAGTGGCAGCGACTTTAGAAACGACGCGGTTTCGTTGTTTCTCGGTGCGAAAGAAAGAAACAACCTTTTGATCGCGCCAGCAGGTGTTGCTACAGAGCATTTTCGAATCGATCGGAAAAACTGGCGTATCCGCGCGAATGAGGCAATCGTCGCGGTTTGCTCGTTGGACCTCGACGGGCCGCGCGAAATCGAGCGGACAGAGAGAAAGAAAGAGAGAGTCGTCGAGTTAATTGAATTTAAATGACGACGTATTCTCGTTAAATATAGCCTCCGGGGCTCTTTGATATTTGAAGGGAGGGGAGGAAGCGTCTCTCGGCGCCCAAGATCGGGTCTCGGGCATAAGGATTGTTCTGTACTATTAATTACCGATAGATGCTGGCGGATCGATAGGCGCGGAATCGAGCAACGCTTCTTGACGGTGCGCCCGAGGTATCGCAACCTGCACTGATTGCAGGTGTGCATCCGGTAAGCCATTCAGGGGGTGCCTGCATACTCGAGCGTTTCACGTCGAGGCGCAGCGTTTATGCCGTGTATATTGTTACGATCGCGTGTCGCAACGAAATGTGCGCGCCGGTGATACCGAGTTTACGGGCTTAATAGAATACGCGACGCGAAAAGAATGATAGATGATTTAATGTTCCCTCTAATAAATGACTTTTAATTACGACCTCTCCGCAGGCACAATGAAACGGTTGATTAATTAAGCGCGCCTCCCATTTGCGTCGACGGATCGTGTTTAGGAGTTACTTAACGAAAATTGCTGCTCCTCCGTGGCTAATGATCGGAAAATATCGGGACGATAATTATTTCTGACGAACGCCAGCCTCGGACGGCCGCTTCTTCGCGATCGATATCGGAAAATTCGGTTTCTCAATTTACGCAAGAACGCGATAATAGTTTTCTGGGTCTACTGGTTGAACTAATCGGCGAGATCTCGCCTTGGACGCGACACTATATTAATCTTTGAATATGTGGGAACGATTCATAGCCTCAGGATCTAGCGAAGGATCTAACTAGTCGATCTAGAACGAAATGCAATATATTTAATATACTCGACTCCGGAAAGGTGTCTTCCTCTGTCGATTTTCGCGCATGAATTTGATTTTCACACGTTTTGCGTCTCGACGGCGTCATCGGCAGGATCGTCGAGGATCACCACGAGGCCAGCACCGTTGCATTAGTCGACCGAGCCGTGAGAATCGTAACGAGTCCTGTTGGCTCGTAACTTTCAGCGAGATCGGCTGTTCTCCCGCGATCATCGTCGATTCCACGGAAAGACACTCGAACGGGGCGAAGGTGCAACCGCCGAGCACGTCTGAACGTTCAAAGGGATCAATCGAAGTTCCTACGTTGCCGCTCGGCGATTGTCCTCCTTTCTAGAGCTGACCTTCTCGATAAAGACACTTACCGCCTCTGATCTTCCGCTTTGAGAAAAGAATGGCATCGACCGACGATCTTACCCGGCCGCGATCGGTCTCTCCTTCCTACGACGCGAGGCGTCTAGACGCGGCCCGCAGGTTCCTTTCGAATTAGCGGATTTTTTCCTTCATTTGCATGACTCGTGAAAGTCGCACGTTGATTTAGCGGAACTATTTTAAATGACCGACGCCTCGTTACTTTCGTCGCCTCGGCGAAAGACAAGACGGGCATAGCGAATTTTCCTTTTTCTCACGAAGCACGGTTCCGTTTACAGCGGCGATTCGAGATTCATGGACGATGTTCCCCATTCACGCGACCGACAAATCCCCGTCTTTTTCTTTCACGTTCTCTTATGAAAAAAAATCCCGTCCAAAAGTAAAACAAACTCGTGTTCATAACGCCCTTATTTTAAAACACTGACCCTCCTTAAGTATTCTCGTGCTTCCCGATTTCCAAGAGGGAATGCCCATTAGGAAGGCGATTAATTGAACAATGATTGAAATCTTTAGTAGTGGAAAGTTTAAGGAATACGAGCATGGATTCCTGTCAACATATTTATTGACTTCTAAACGTATTATCTGATTTTGTTCAGCGTGTTGAAATTGATAGACAACAGACGAACGCATAAATGTCTACATATTATTTTTAGTAACTTTAAGAGCGGTGATTTTCGCATTTTGTACGAAGATAAGAAACTCTCTTTTAAGCGTTAAGCCGTGCACCGTCGACTCTCATCTCTGACAGATTGTAAAAAAAGGTTCGAGTCGATTTTTCGTTCCACTAGACCGTCATTTGCCTTTTTATTGACGAAAACGGCTCGGGGGTGCTAAAACGCTGAAAATTTTCGACCGGATTTGAACAGGATGGCTCACGGGCAGGTCAGTTTTTTACTGTTCGCTGCTAGCCGTAATTATCGGGGACAAATTGTAATAAAAAAATAGCGGTCGTTGGTGCGACACTTTGTACCGTTTGTGTTATTTTTTCGAACTGCAAACTCGGTCCTGAAGACCTCGATTTCCCCGGTACGTTCTATTTTGGTCCTGGACGATTTCGTAATTTGTTGTTCAATTTACCGATCACAGAGACGAGCAAAAATTTTAAAACACCAGTGTACAGATTTACTTTCAACATTTATCCCATTGGTCAGCTATCGTGATAAGTTGTTATTCGTACAGCGTGAAGTATAATGTGTTTCATAAATCAGATTGCAACTTTTATTGCGTAAATGACACATCAAGATTATTTATTTTTTATCTAGATAAGAAATCTGCTCATCTCTGTAATACAAAGACTACGTTCAATTGAATTACATTTTATTAACACGTTCTCTCGTGAGAATTCACTTAAGGGTTGATACATTTCACTTGCAAACGATTAAAAATAATTACAAATATAACGTAGTCTTCGATTGATGGTAGCGAATACGTTGAACACGATAAGAAAATTTTTTTTTGAACTAATCGATGGTTGCGTGAGTTCAGGTTTCGCGTCTCCCGACCTCATCTTCTCGAAGTAGCGCGATCTAGTTTGCAGAGTGCAGTTTCCGGTCTTTCGAAACGAAACGGCGTTCCGCAACGCGTGCTCCGGCGATCGGCCTTCGCGCGATGCAACATGGACCGTTTGTTTCCGATGCCATTATTCCATTGCTTTTCGATATGCTCTGTCCTTTCAAATTCGTATCAAACGATCGCGCAAACCCTCAAACGTCCTCAAATGGGAACACGACGCGTGCTTTTCCCACCAGTCGATCCATTAGGGTACACAAAACAATATTTTATATACTGTTAGTCATAGGAGAAACAACACGTAATAATCTCTAAATTATAAATCATGTTAATTAATTGTTACATGTTGTTCCCTCTATTACCAACAACATGGACAATTTTATTCTTGTCATAGTTTGGAAAGTTCTTCTCGCGTCGATTACGAAACCTTGCATTTGTTTACAGTTTTCATCGAAGCTTTGTTGCATTTATGTCATCGTTGAAAAGGAAATTACAATTCCACAATTTCCCCAGTGCATAGGCCAGACTTTCCCCCATTCGACTATCACTTTTGCCGAACAATAGCGCGCTTCTCGACCAGGAGGCGAATCAACAACTATAACGACGTCGAACATGGATGTCCGTGGTTTTTGGTATTCAAAGAACCGACACGGTATCGTGGAAGAATGCAATTGCTCTTTGAACTATGACAGAAGGCCATAGATCATCGCGTTTGAAATTATTTACTATTCGAGTCGTAATTTA